GCAGCAGATTCTGAATGCTATTTGTAGACCGTGTTGCTATTTCTTTCATGTCTCTTCGTGGTGTGATTTTGTTCCACTCTTTTTTGACTTGACAGCATTATTTTTTAAATTAAGTTTGCCGTGTTCAGAAGACATGACTGTTCCGCTTTGGAGGAACAGAAGCTGTAGCAAGTTTCTTTTGGCTGTGGTGCAGATGACAGCAATATTGATTTTGAGGTTACATTATTGTAATGGTGGATTAAGTTGAGAGAACTTTGATTTGCATTTTTTTAAAATGGACACTTGCTACTCATAGACAATTAAGACTTGAGTTTGGTATCTTGTTAGGGAATAATGAATGCAATTTGATTCTCCCTCCCTGTTCCAATTTCCATTTGTAGAGCTACCTTAGGTTGAGCCAGATGTTTCATTCAATTTGTTGAGGACTGTCTGCTCATTAAGTAATACTTGCACATGCCAAGTAGATTACTTATTGTGGCAAAAAAAAGATATTGAAGATTAAACCTGGGACCTTTGTTGTGTAAGCACATGGTTTACCACCAACAATGGCGTCTCCCTGTTGTGTCATTCCTGTTGTGTCTGATGCCAGCATTGCAATAATTTTTTTAGAACTTCCCTTTTTGTTTAATATGATTGGTAAATTGTCTCTGACAATTATTTATTCTGATTGCAAGTAAACAAAAAATAAAGAAAACTTTATTTTTCTCTTTCAATTCAGATAGAGCTACAAATCCTTTAAATAAGGACTTGGAATGGGACAACATCAATGCTTTTTGTGACCAGCTGAACAAAGAATTAGAGGGGTTAGTACACCTGGTCTTGTATTTGTCTATCTGGGGTTTATCTATGCTAAAAACATTATAATAACAAAAAAGTATTCCAAAGAAGCATTCTGAATAAACTTATCGCTATAGCTGCATCCCTTTGTGTTTTTCTAATGTTGAAAACTGTTTACTTAGCTGTAGTTACTAAATTAACCCACTATTCTGGGTTTGCATAATCCATTTTGCCATGCAGTCCTGATCATATGCGGCAGGATAAATCCACCAGCAGCTGATTTGTGAGGTTGGGATGCCGTCCAGCAAAGCAGATAGCCTCTTTTGCATTACAGGTAGTCCTTGACTTATAACAGTTCATTTAGTGACCGTTCAAAGTTACAACAGCACTGAAAAAACTGTTTTTCACACTTATGGATGTTGCAGCATCCCCATGGTCACCTGATCAAAATTCAAATGCTTGGCAACTGACTCATATTTATGACTGTTGCATATCCCAAGGTCCTGTGATCACCTTTTGCGACTTTCAGACCACCAAAGTCAATGGTGAAGCCAAATTCACTTAACAACCATTTTACTAACTTAACATTGTAATGATTCACTTAATAACTGTGGCAAGCAAGTTTGTAAAATGGGGAAAAACTCATTTAACAAATGTCTCACTTAGCAACAGAAATTTTGGGCTCAATTATGGTGGTAGGTCAAGGACTACCTGCATTGTATCCATCTCTACCATTCTTCAGATTTGAAGCAAATATCCACAGTGGATAGCATCTGCCTATTAGGCAGAATAGCTTTTCCCATTTACTGGGCAGTTCACCAATTCTGCCAGTGAACTATCTAGCAAGCTTCCTTTGACCCCCAACTTTGGTGCTCATTTAGAATTGCAGGATATATTTTTTTACTTCATATATGACGCCAAACTAACTCTGTGTGGTTTTTTTGAGAGAGCCAGTTTACTGTTTTATGGTACATGCTGAGCTACCCTGGGTTTTTGATAGCTATAACCACTGGAAGGAAAAATATATAAGAATAGCACAGGAGAATTCCTTATATTCCAAGCCTGAAGTAGCCAATGGATGCCAAGCTCTCCCTACTTCCTGGGTATCATCTGACAAATCATAAATCACAACAGGTTTTACTCACTTGGCCATTGCTGTTGATTGCTCTGGCTTAAGGGGAAAATGCTACTTTACAATTAGGACAGTTAAATGCAACATAAGCCTGTCTTACTCATAAGCTAAGGACAGTTTGAAAATATTGTCATAGGGACATAGCAAGAACAAGAACTTACCAGAGCATGTTTATAATGTAGTTAAATGCCAACAGGGAAATATCCTATGTATAAAATGTGGGAGTTCTGGAAATATAGAAAAATAGTAAAAGCAATTCATTAAGACTTTAGATAGGTGTTTATATAAATCACCTAAAACACTACTATTAGTTGATAGAATGATGCAAAGTTGCATAAAGGATAGTAGGTTTAAATTGATAATTTAATTGATAATTTGAAGAGGATCATCATTTAACAGAGGATGTTAAAAGAAATTTTAAAATGGTGCTTATATATCTTTTTATTAGTAGGGCAGTAGCATAGATTTTCTAGATTACTTGGAAATTTCACTATTAAAAACTAGAAGATATTTTTAAGGAATTAACTAGAGTCATAATCAAATTTTGACTACAAAGTGTTTAGCTCTTAGAAGTCAACTTCAATCAATCTCTTAGTATCAGCTAGCAATTTACTAAATTGCCTTATTCATAATGTTTGCTGTAAAGGAAGTATAATACCTTTAAAAAGGGGTGCAAAGTATTTACAGAGTTTAAGAACCAATGAGATTTTCTAGAAGCCAGCTAATGGAAAATAAAAAATGTGAAGACTAAATCAGGGAAAAGTGGGATTTCAGACTCAATAGGCAGCATCTCACCAACACATCTGCTCCATTTCACAAAATGTGTCAGCCTCAGGGTGGTTTGAAGGTGACTTGAAAAAAATAGCCTCTGTATTGAGAGCTCTTATTCCAGTCAATGACAGCTTGTGTGTTGTTATGAAATATTAAAATAAAATGGGGATTCGCTAGATCCAGATTACTACTTCATTGACGGTTTCTGTGACTCCACTCACTGTTTCTATGTCCCATTCACAGCCCTCCATTAGCAACCCGGCTCCTAGCCCACAAGATCCAGTCTCCACAAGAATGGGAAGCCATGCAGGCTCTCACGGTAAGATGCCATGAACTGCTTGATTTACTACAAGTTGGAAGGAAACAAAGCTTCGTGATAACTACCCAAATAAGGGCTGGTACAATTTAAGTAATCTTGGGGTTATGTTAGAATATGTGAAATGTCAGGATTATTATTTCTTCCATCCCACTCTGCACTCTGATTTAAAGTGCCATACCTTTGACAGATACAGACATGCTTCTTTTCATGGGATGCAAAGTATTTCAAGAAGACACCATGGCCTCACTCTTTTCTGGTTTCAAGAAAACTGCAGTTCTGTTTGGTTATTTATTTAGAGCCACAATTTCACTTGACTATAACTGTATTCTTATGATTATGGCTTAATTGAAAGGATCTTTTCAGCATTGGTGTGTCAGCTGAGACATCACTCTTTCTAGAAAAGACCATCTGACACACTTTTATGGTCTCTTCATTTCCAGTGAAAATTGCATTTCCTACGCTTTTCAAACTTTCAGCTTTAAAATACTTTTCTTTGTATTCTTGCACTGGTTCTGTTTTACTTTGGTTTTATTCTCGTGTAGTCTTAGGTTACTTTAGGTTGTTATAACATTCGTGTGCATTAGTTTTCAACTTTTAAAGTATGCAGACTTTTGCCCATGGCAATATAGGAAATTAATAAATATATTCCCCATTCATGTGAAACAATTGGTTTACACATAGAAAGCAATAACCACAGAAGTGGTATTAATACATGAATGCTAAAAGCTAATCCTACCTGATGCCTAATGAATGAATTCTAAGGTAATGGAAAAGGTCCTGCTGCAATCTGCTATTCCCATCCTCACAAATTGTGACCATAACCTCTCTTTATGACTTTACACGCAATCTATTTCTAGGAAGAATAAATACTACCTGTAGCTAATCACTTGGGAAAGAGGAAATTCTCATCTGACTACAAGTCTACTGACATTTGAGATTTTGGATCAGGTGTCTAATAAGGACACTGCTGCTTAGCTCTCAGCTCGGTGTTTCCAATGATTCCTTATCATCTGTGTCTGTCACAAAATGAGAAATGAGAGAGCTCTGAATTTCTGGTAGCAACTGACACTTTTTTCCTGACATTTATATCATTTTTAACTTACATTTTATAGAATGAATTGTAGGTTCATATTGCATGCATGTATTATTTGTCTGACTAAGGCATTCTTGGGCTCACTACTGGAAGCCTTCATATAGGTTGTTTATTTTTTGGCTTAACATATTGTTATTACAAGGCAGTGCTCTCTCAATAGCCCAAGATGGCTAATTCGGTACTGAGCCATGGTGGGATTGCTTTTAATTATCTCATGGTTAAGAGCCAAGGAAGGTAATGTGCACAAAAGATGTCGCTCTAGGTGCAACCAGTGTTTTCAAATCTGGTCATAATTTGTTATTTTTGGCAGAGAAGCAAACTATTTTATTACCTCTTCCCAAAATGGAGCTTTCCAGATGTAGGAAAACGTCTAGAAATTATAGTCCAATCTCTAGGAGGCACTATTGAGGAAGACTGGTTTATATTGTTTTTGTGGTTTATCAGTAGAGAGAAAAAAAAGTATGAAAGCTCCAGAAGGCATACTTTTTCAAATAACATTTTTCTCAGTCCTCATCCCCATCCCCCCATTTCATTGCATTATGAAGAGAATGGGGAATCCTGGCATGTGGATTTTTAGGGTCGCTTCCTGCTCTATTTTACAGGTGCTGGAGGCCTGTATGAAAAACTGTGGCAAGCGCTTTCATGATGAAGTTGGCAAGTTTAGGTTCCTTAACGAGCTCATCAAGGTTGTGTCACCAAAGGTGAGTGCTCATTAATATATGGCCCAAAGGCTAATAATAAATAAAGTAAAATAAACTAAAATAAACTAACATTACCAGTGGGGCAAGTTTGAAGTGTAACAAGTAGAAGAGACAAACAGAGCAATTTCATATTTCCACATGTTGAATAAAAAGTAATATTATTGACTTCATTAAGAAAACCTTGTATTTGGGTCATTTTCTTTCAAGTTCTGTGCTAGTACACTGTAAATGAAAAGTGAAGAGTTTCTTATGGTGGTTTAATTCATTAATGTCTGATATTGTCAGGATTGCAACAGTCGGATTTGTCTTCATCTTGAGTGTAGAATGAAACACATGACACTTCATCTCATGCTTGGTACATAACGCCCTGAAAGCAAACTCTTGTGTTTTTTTTAACCCCGTCATGTTAAATATGTGATGTGATTTGTTGCTTCCTCAGTATCTAGGAAACAGAACTCCAGAAAAAGTGAAATCAAAAATCTTAGAATTGATGTATAGCTGGACGTTGGGTCTGCCCGAGGAAGTGAAAATTACAGAAGCATATCAGATGTTAAAAAAACAAGGTGGGATATACTTTTCTATACTCAAGAGGTTTCCACTTAATTGTACAAGAATGGGGACATTCCTTCCAAACTTGGATTAATACCTTGGGGGTTTATATTCTGGGTTACAGAAATACTGAAGGAGTAGGGTAAAGAACTGGGCATTTTTTCAGCTCTAACTCATCTGTTTGCAAACTCATGCAAAAACTTAATAAAGGATACATCATCATAGGCTCCACAAGTCCCATTCCCACAAAAGTGTTTTATTTACTCAATTTTTCAAAGTTCTGCAAGTCCTAATATTCCAAATTCATTTGTTTCCTTAATCCGTTTAAAACTTTCCTAGGTTGAATTTTTATTTACCTTTTTGCCATTTATTTCATGTTTTTAAATTTTTTAAATTGTAAGGTAAAAATGAAATTTCAAAATGAAATTTTACTTACCAGGTGAATTTTCAGACTTGTTCAGAAGATCTCTTTTAACTTTAACATAATTGTAATTCAGAAAGTGATTAGAAAGTGAGGTTAGACTAATGTAGTGTCCTTAAGGGCTCTCTACCACAGCTAAGCTTGATAGTTTCCCTTGTCTTCCAGTGCTTAGACCCACAGGAGAACTACAGGCCTACAGTTTCCTTATAGGGAGGAGCTGTTTGGAACACAAATAGGCAATCTTCTGTCTGGAGAGGAGCAGTATTTCTGCTCCTTCGGAGTTGCCTAATTCACAATTTTCCTCACCTCAAAGTGCTAGTTCTCAATTTTTGAAAAATAATACCAGGCGATCAATTTTTTCCTTTATTACCACAGTACATAATTCACCTAGCCTTAAGACATTTAAACATAGTAATTTCCTGACAATAACTCTTATCAGTCCCAGGCTTCAATCCTGCTTCTTAATGTTGGTCTTTAAATTTCCTAATGAAACCTATAGTCACTTATTTGAGAGGAGTTGGATAGTTCTGCCACCTCCTTGTTACACTTTAGTATGTTAATCTCTTCACTGTGCATTTGTTATATGATTATTTCCCTTTCGAATCTATATAAAGAAGCCCTTGTTCTTTTACTGGTCTTTGTTTACCTTCCCCTTGGTTGGATTGGTAATAGGAGAAATCAGCAATGCAGGTAGTCCTCAACGCACAACCACAATTGAGCACAACATTTCTGAACTGTTAGGTGAGCTCCCCGTTGGGAGAGCGAGTGCGTTTAGAGAAGCATTGTGAGATTGGTGTTGAAGAACACACAAACCAGCATACAGCATAGAGACACTGCAGTTTAAATAGGCTTTTACTTTCGTGGCAATAGAGGTATCAGAGTCCATCAAACAGTTCAAGTCATACACGGTTAAGACAGTCAGTCATCAATGTCTTTCAGTTAAGAGATAATCCAAATAACATAGTCCATAATCATACAAACAGTCTGGTACACAAAGTTTGCTAGCAGTTG